CAAACCTAGAGTTTTGCATATTCACAGCCCAATTATTGGCACTAGGTTTCCTGGGACTGTTAGAAACTGAATTTTTACTATATTACCCTTGTGTTTAACATGCAATGCACAAACACCCTTGCTTGCAGTCATGTTCTTATTATATGCTCTAAGTCTTACTTTCTTATTCTCATGGTACACAGGTTTAGTTTTCATTTTTTGAATAATGTATCCTGGTATTACATTGACCTGTGCCCCTGTAACTAATTTAAAAGTTACCATTAGTCGACTGGTGTCCAGGGTGGTTGTCCAATCCTCAGAAGAATGAACTTCTTGCATTGTGCCAATGAGGAATTCTTCCTCTTCCTCGTTGCATAGAGCATCCACCTGCTGTTTTCTTGTATGGTACATCCTGCTCCTTTCTGCAAACTCTTGCAAAGTGATTGAATCTTTTGCATTTGTTGCAGTGCTTACCAAATGCAGGACATTGCATGCATTTGTGGTAACCCCCACAGCATCTGCAGCTGACCATTTTTTCTTCAAGCCATTTTGTTTAGCCTCCGCTTCATAGTGAGGTCCTCTTTTCTGTATTGTGTGCATGTTGCCTTAAGTTTTTGCAGCCTTGTAATCCTGTCTAATTCAGCCTGTTCTGCTTTTTCCTCCAGCTTCTACAACCTGGCATTTGTTATCTCAGCTACCAGGCACATTCTAGTTGCCTTTTCCAAATTAAGCTCAGGATCCTCTAGCAGCCTTTTCCTGAGGCTTGTATTCCTTATAGCTAATACTGTTTGGTCTCTGATCATGGACTCTTTTAGGTCTCCACAGTTGCAAGTCTGGCTCAGCAGTCTGAGGTCTTTAACAAATTCATCTATTGTCTCACATTCTTTCTCACACAATGTGGAAATTATACTGTTCAAAGGTTTCATTTTGTTTGGGTATACAATATTCTTCAAAGTTTTTTATTACTGTCCCATAGCTTTTCTGTTCTGCTTCTGATACTTGTAGGCTATTATAAAAAGACAGAGCTTTAGGGCCTGATATATTTTAAAAAGTAGCTACCTTGAGTGGATCTTCCTTCTCTGTAGCTCCACTGGCCATCATATATATGGTGAAGCTCTGCTTAAATTTCTTCCAGTTTTTGCTGCATTGCTAGACAGCTTTAACTCCTCTGGAATTCTGAGATGCTCCATTTTTCTGTCTATCTTCACACCCCACTTCTGGTACCAAGTGTTTATTCTCAAAAGACGAAGGAGGTAAACTTATAGAATGATAAAGCTTGTTTATTCAGAGAGCCTATTGATCTGCTACTCCCTCCAGTTCTCTCCTGCAATCCCCGGGCTAACGTAACAATTTATACATAGCACTTTTAAAGGTATCCACACAGAGGTTACCTAATACCACAGACACTCTTTGGAGGTTATATAAGAGATGTGGCTGAACAAAAGGATTCCAAGGCATTCCCTGTTCCCTAGATACTGCAGGCCAAAGCCTACTCTAACGTACAGAAAGGGACCAGACCAGCACAAGACCAGATGAGTGCAGTAGCAGAACTCAGTCATTTCTTTGCTCTCACACAGGCATGCACACATACAGATGATCCTTTGTGAGTTTTGTGGTACAAACTGAGGACTGGAATCACATTTTTAAGATAGGATTTTAAGATTTAAAAAGTCCCTTTTTAAAGATAAGATAAACCTGACTGTCCCTTTTTTAAATACAGAAGAATGATGTATAAGTTGAATTGTTAAATAGAAAATTTCACACGCAGGAAATTCATTTAAACAAGCATGTAGAAATGTTTTAAATTCTTGCAAAGCAAAAACCACAACACAGTCCACTGTTAAACCACCTACGCTTATACAAATGGTTCTAGGCCCCTTCTTTTGGTTATGTGATGTCATTGTTCAAGAGGGGGTGGTGCCTAGACTAACAAGAACATTTTAATTGGGAACTGGAATTCTAAAGAAGCACGGAAAACAGACATCTGAGAGCTTTGAGGCTGGAGTTTCAACACTGATTCTGTCATATATTAGTTTCTCTAATATATTTGTAGTTCAGGGCAAATAATTGTCTTACATGGTGACTAAGGTCTCATTTTCTTCTTTCCAAGAGTGTTCTTAGAAGCCAGATGGCACAAGTTTTGGAAGCAATACATACTGTCCTGAAGAGGAGGACCGAATTTGAATAACTGTAGTTGTACAGGAAGGAGCAACCTATTAAACAGTGTATACGGTTCTCCCACAAATGGAGAGAGCAGTTAATTTTTGTTCTGTTAATACTTTCATATTCTTCTGTTACCATAAGCATGAAAATGTGGCTAAAGACCCACAGACAGAATCTGCATGGTAAATTAAATGGGCTTGCAATGAGGACATTACTGTTGCTGCTGTTTTTAATTTATAGATATGGCTTCCTTAGGTTTAACTGGTACTGTGGAAATCAAATTTTCCAACTCTCATGATATTGGTGGATTTCCTAAAGCCTCAGCCCCTCAAATCAGGTGATGATGAGAGTCTCTCAGTTTATATTGTTATAATGGAAAACTACAGAGAAGAGCTTGAATGTGTAAAGCCAATAAGCACTAAAACCAGAGGGCAAACAAAAAAGACCCCAATTGTATTTTATTGTTGTTGTTAATCTTATGATTTTTAAACCAGTTGCATTTTGCTGAGTTGGCAGCCAACTACTGAGTCATGTTTGGCAATACTGGATTGTTGTGCAAGTTGACTAAAGTCACTGGTTAGCTGTAATGAACTAACAGGCATTGGCCAAATCCCTGGTTAATAAATTCAGGATTTGGCTCCAGAAAGCACCACATATCTCTTTGGAAACAAAAAGTAGGTTTCTATAAAACCTGTTACGTGGAAAGCATAACTTTGATTGGGATGAATTTGGTAGAGGAGTGGTTGGCAGGACCCTCTCACACAACATTTATTTAAAATGAATTAGTTGAATTTGGAGTTTTGTCCAAGAAGCCAGATATTTGTGGCAGAAATGTGTTGAGTTTGGTAGGCTAAGAAGCAAAATTCTCCTGCAAAGACTCAAGTCAAAATTCTAGCCTCAGGTCCCTGATTATGACACGTACAGGTTCCAAGAACCAAAGGTTTGGCTTGTTCCATATTTTCACTCATCAAAGGGGCTGATTCAAGGACAGGCTGAAGGAAGCAGCTCAGTAAGGCTTACCAAGGCCTACACATGACAGGACTGCTCTGGAGGAAGGTAAATATTAATGGGAATAATTATTCACAAAGATTTTATTTGAGATAATTTTTCAGTATGGCTTTGAGGTGAACATCTATTTTTTTTCTTTATGGAAAGTTCTTTCCATAAACACGACAGGCAGATATGAGTTTTATGCTGCAGCCTATGGAAAACCTCCACCTCAGTTGCCCAAAAAACCCAAGCTCTGCATAACATAGCCTCAAGCGCAAACTATATACAACAGAGCCAGTTCAAAGGGCTGTAGGAACAATTCTGATCTTTGTATGTAATGAGACACAAAAAATTGTCTTAAATGGGCAGAGCTGAGCTAACTGTAGTTTGATGGTCAGGGTTGTGTGACTCACAATGGTAAAAGGAAATTCCAATGGTAATCAAGAAAATCAGGCCAAAGCACTTAAATGTTTCAGGGGAGACTCTACCTGTCAATGAATTAATATTCTTAAGATAACCAGTAAAAGCCTCATGTTACATTTTAAAATTGTTAAGCACATCCAATTGAAACCCAAACTAAATTTTGGATATAACCATTTGAAATCTCAGCTAAAAATGAAAGATAAAGTAAGAACTGAGAGTAGTTTCCAAAATGAAGAAAAAAATAGCCATCACCAGACACTGCCTTGGGAATCTTGAGAGAGAGGCTATAGATGGATACAAATGTACATTACAGCAAAATTAAAAAAGAAACTGGGAACACACCCCAGCCTTGTAAAGATGGGACAATAATGTGGTTGGTTTCAGACCACCTAAAAAGGTCTGGTATGAAGGCATCTTACAGAGTCCTGTTAACACTGAAAGCATGATAAAATTGTGGTACTTACAGGAAACTGAAACACAAAGTATTAATAGCACATAAAATAGTATAATCATTGTTTATCTGTGAAAGACAAAGCTAAGTTATGATTCACTTCTGGATATTACTAAAGAAGAAAGCTGTTTTAGTTAAACTGGGTCTAGGTGTGGGGCGTGTGTGCATGTACACACACACACACACGGTTAATCAGTGGTTTTCTGTAAGTGAGCTCAGTTCTGATACACTTCTGTACGTTACTAAAGAAGTAAGCTGTTTTAGTTAATAAACTGGGGCTAGATGGGTATGGGTGTGTGTGTGTGTGTGTGTGTGTGTGTGTGTGTGTGTGTGTGTGTGTGTGAGAGAGAGAGATGAGACAGAGAGAGAGGGACAGGCAGACAAACAGAGAGACAACTCTTTGGAATCAGATCTTCATAGAATTTGGGATCCAAAGCCCTGCCTTTCATCTCTCCCCAAGAATCTTTGGATCTTAACATTGTACTCATGTCCATTCCTATAAAAGACTAGAAAATATCATGGTGGCTGGGGAGGGAGGGAAAGGAGAAAAGCCTACCTTGGAAAAGGAAATGTTGGTAGGAAAGACTGATGACTTAAGATCTTTTCCATTGTTCATGTCTGATTCCTCCTCCTCCAAACCATGTTTGGCTGTGTGATGAGATATACATATCTGATATCAGCTTTATTTTCATTCATTTTGTTTCATTGTTAGAAACAAGCTGATCTTTTAAAACTGCTATGAGGATGCTGCAGGGGATGAGGCTAGTCCACCTTCCAAATGATTCATGTAGCTACAGTGTCTCATTTTGCTGCTACAAATACTTCAGTCCTCAGATTATTCATGTTCAAGCTTCTCTATGAAAACATGGGTGACTCTTATGTAAATTCTGACATGACTATTTGGATCATCCTAGATGCCTTTTCTGAGTTCTTGGGAGTAGACAATGTGAGTATGTAAACAGATATCTATACCTCTCCACCTCATTTTTCTTACCTCTGTTTGAACAAGTCTTCCACATCCTTGCACATCTTTCTCCCATCCAACAGTCGCTGTATGAGCACTTCATAGCCAGTGTGGACTGTAAATTCTTTGCACTAAAAAGGCACAGACAAGTGGCTCTGTAAGTTTATGAGCAGACATTGCTCCCAAAGACCTCAAGTTGTAAAGCTGCACCAAGCAAATTTGTTTGAAAGAGAAAACCTCCCACCTTCAACTCTATCTAGAATTTAAAGAAATGATTCTGATATTTGAACAACTTGCTTTTCCTGCTGTTACTAGAAAAGATGGAAGTGCTTACATACCATGAGAGAGAGACTGTTTTCATGGGATGTTGCTCCTCTGTTGAGCAAAAGCAGATGATCAAGACTTTGTGGGGACAGTAGTGGGGACATAGGATCTGGGACATACTCTAAGTACGACTCCTAAATCAGCATTATATCTACATATTAGGTGTTAGGGGTGATATCCTGGCTCCACTGGAGCTGACTCTGTAATTTTATTTCATTGGGGGAGGGTTTAAGTACTTTAAGCTCATCAAGTTCATCCACAGACCTCACCATTTTTCAAATGTCTTGAACACTTGCCTTCCAACCAGAATTACCTTTGTCAAGACTGGAGGAATCATTTGGAAGACCCTAGACTCTTGAGGTTTCAACCTGGCTTCTGGCTGCTACTGTCTTAGGAGAATGGAACCAAACCTCAGGAGTGAATGTTGCAGACCAGCTAGTAGCAGCTGCCGTTCTGAATGAAGGATTTTTTCAGTGGTGCTGAGAAGCATTGCTTCTATGACTAGGAAGTTTTTTGTTTTCCCCAGTGCTAAGTTTAAGTCTTAGGGTTAATCTACCATTCACACATTTACAAACTTCCAATGCTCCAGCTTCCTGACAAGAGCAGCTCCTTCCTCTCACTGAAAACTTACCATCAGCAGTGGGATGAAGGGAATAATAAGAGGCATATAACTGCCCATAGACATAAGCTATCAGCAAAAATAAGCATTATGGAAACCAAGGGAAAATAATAGCATAGATAGAATAGGATGGTACAGGGATGGTAGAATCACCAATATCATTAATGTGCAGCCGTAAGAAAATGAAAGATCTTGATATGTCCATCTGATTGTAATAGTAGATCCTCACTTAATGTTCCCAGGGAAAAGTTACATATGCTGTTTTCTACCAGAGTCACTGCCATTAGGGCTGTGCAAAGCTTCAGTTCCTGATTCAATTTGGTGGAGATTTGGCCCGATTCAGTGGCTGAATTGCCGAATCTGAATCAGAGGACCCTTTAATCTCTCTGAATCAAATTGGAACCCTCCGAATCCATTTGGAGAGATTCGGAGATTCAGACATAGAGACAGCTTTAAATGTTTTTTCTATATACCTCTAGGTAGCAGGGGCTCGTGAATGCTGTGATGCTGGGGTGCATGGAGTGTCCCACAGAAGCACAGGGCGCTCCCCAATGCGCTCGGCAGCAGACCCAGAAGTGGACCAGAAGCATTTCTGGTCCAATTCCAGGTCTTCTGGAGAGCACACTGGGGGGTCCCCTGCACCCTCTTTGACTTGGCAACTGGTGCCTCCTGGGTCTGGGGGGGCACCCGGGGTCCCTCTGTGGCTGATCACTAAGCTGGTGGGGCACGGGGGGGCCCCCCAGCATGCTCCCTGACGGGATGCTCCATCCACCCCAACATCGCAGCAATCACGAGCCACGCTGGTAACTCAAGGTATGTGGAAAAAACTGTTAAAGCTGCGTCTATGTCTGAATCTCTGATTCTTTGAATCGGCACTGAATCTTCAGATTCGGATTTGACCATATCGATCAGGGACAGTGATCCAAATCAACAAATCAAATCACTGTCTCTGATTCGGGCCAAATCCAAATTTATTAGGGCCTGCTTCACACACCCCTAACTGCCGTTATGGTCTGGGAGAATATTTTGCAACCTCAGATTTTCCGGTCAGAAAACAGTTTTGATCATTGTTTCAGTGATTTAAATATATAATTGAAATACATAGTCAGAAGTAAACCTATGCTGAAGTAGGAAAGATGCTTGGTAATGGCACCCAACTGACACTCGCTGTCATTGATTTCTTGAGAATTCATATCCTGGTAGAAGTTATGTTACTGCTGCTGTGGCAGAATTTAATTTGTTTTTCCCCTTGTCTACATCTGATAGAAGCTGTTTCTGTCAAGTACTCTTCACCCAGGTCATAGCCCACAACAAATAGCATTCTTCCAAGGAACATTTCATCAAGTTGTGGTTGTGGAAGGTAATCTGTAAGTTCCCCCTTTCTGCCTTCCTCCATTTAGCCTTGCTTTGAGTTTCTCATTCTCAGGTAGTCTTAGAGCTTGTCTGCACACACAGTTGTATCACTAAACCTACAATAGTGCAGCCCCTTGCATGGATGGTGTTAGAGGGTATGGCTGTATGAACAAATTATCATGGTCTTAAAAGGAGTGGGCCTTTACTCCATGTCAGGTGTTCCATAGTAACTGCCTATGTTCATGTTCTTATTGGACACATCCACACAAGACATTTACTGCACAGTTGACTAACTGGCTGCACAGTAAATGTCTTGGTGTCTACACATGCTGGGGCACATGGCAGCAGCATGGTAGTATTTACTCTGTAAATACAAGTACAGTCCTGCTGCAGGGTAAAAAACGCTGCAGTAGTGCATGTGTAGATGCTGGAGGGGCTGGCTGGGGCATGAGGGTGCTTCAGTGTAGGGGCTGCCTGCCAGCTAGCCCTGCAGCGAACTTCCCTTGTACCCCAGCCAGCCCCTCCGCAACACGCTGAGCTGGGGGGAGAAGCCCAGGGCTGGCAGGCTGACCCCTGAACCCCCTGCCAGCCAGGGCTGCTTTGACCTGGCTCAACATGCTGTGCATGTATAAACTTCAGGGCTTATTGCTCCCGAGTTAATTGTTCCCAAGCGCACATTCAAACAGCTCACCCAGAAGCAATAAACTCTAGAGCAATAAGTTCCACAATTTATTCATATGTCATAATTGCATATGTAGATGTGCCCCTTCTGAGGTAAATGGAAGCTAAACTATAGTGACTTACCCCACTTTCACTGAAGATTGAAATACCAGTCTATCCTCCACTTACCAAGCAGGAAGGGTGTGCACATGGACAGTTGCTGCAGAGCAGATAATTTGTGGTACATTCCCACTACCTTGTACCCTGTGTGAATACTCATACCTATTCTAGTATAAAAACTATGTATAGGTCAGGCTTTACATTGTACATGTGCTTTTGGTTTAAGCAGCAAATTTCAAGTCCGGTTTGCAGCTGACTTAAACTTGGTTTCATATGGAGTTAAACACCTTTATTTACAAACTCTCATGTTTCAAAGTGTAAGCCAGACACTAAGAAAAGAGATTACTGTATAACTGTCCATTTCAGTCCCTTCCTCAGGGAGAATTCGATGATGCCTGCCGCTGGATATAGGATATCAGTATGGCCATTGCTGCGTTCTCTAGGTGAGGTCCTGTTTTTATCTCCTTTTGAGTTTTGTGTAGTTCACTGAAAAATAATGCAAGTGCTGCAGGCTCCTAGACTATCCCACTCCCTAGATTCCAACTGTGAGCCCATTCATGGGGCATTACAGGTTGAGCTCACTGCTGTTCACAGAAAAGAGATAATTCTTTATCTGCAGGAAGTGGGAAGCTGAAAAACTGATTCATCCTAAAACAGAATATGCTGTACCCTACAAAGGGGAATTCAGAGACAGAGCTATAGGAGATAAACCACCATCTACAGCATTTCCTAATCTTCTGAGACAGACATTCCACACTTAATGTCTTTCCTAATGCTGTAGATGCAGTCAGAAATGCCCAGTAACATATGGACTTTTAAAAAAAAACTTGTCCAAAGGAAATAAAATATTGCATTTGTGGTATGTTCCTCCGGCAGCCATACACAAAGCCCCAAGGTGCAAGGAGAGACTAAAAATGTAACAGAGGGAATTCAGGGAAAGAATAGCAGGTTTTAAATACAAGATTTAACACCTATAACAGCACAAAATATTCTATAATAAATTCCCAAGTCTAGTGCCTGAGAGAATGAACACAGATCCACATTGCTGGTTGTCTAATAGGTCTGTCCTTTAACTGCTAAAAGTCATCCAAATGTCTGAGTGAAGTGTTTGTTTTAGTGTAAAAGTTGTAAGAAAAAAGTGATACCATATTAAGGGGAATAAAGCATGGATCCCTCTGCATGAGTGAATGAGGAAAAAAGAGGGAGGAGAGAGTTTTTGCAGCGCATGTACCCAGCAGGCAGGCAGTCTGAATCAACGACTCCTTTCTAAGCTTTGCTGATGAGGTTGGCAGAGTTGGTCAGCATAGGGCCATGTGCTGTGAGTTCTGCAGGTGGTACTGGATCCAGCATATACTCTACTTTTAATAGCAGGAAAAGCAAGGCTGTGATTCTCAACCAGGGTGACTAGGTCCTTTTAAAGGTGTCATGAAGTGCCAATCAAAATTAGCCCTGTTAGGTATACAAACACCTATGCATGGTTCACAAGATGAGCCCAGAGATTTCAAATAGAAATACAGTGTCATTCTGATCTGTTGTGGTCTTTCTGAGTTCTTTGCAACAGAAAATTTTCAGTATTGCTTTCCATAGTCAGAAATGAGTGAACAGTTACGAGCTGGAATTTTCCAAGGGGTGGCTTGAACCTATCAAGGGGTATCCTTGAGTCTCAAAAGGTTGAGAACCACTGGAGTAAAAGGACCATGTTGGGATGCTCCCAGTAATTCTAAAAAGGTTCTGTATTCCATCTTTTTCCATCCTTACGTCCTTGTTTCACTAAATGTCTGGATACAGAAGCCAGAATTCTGCCCTTATGTCTATAGTAGTGTAAGAATGATGTTCTATCTATAATCAACCAGAAATTATGTAAGAGGCAAGGAATTATTAGAATTCTATATTTTATTGGACTAACTATGTAGCTGGAATACAGTACAGAGAATGCCTTAGATTCAGAATTGACCTGATAAAGAATATCTTGCATTCAAAAGCTTGTCTAACCCTATCCCAACTATGTAGTCCAATAAAAGCTATCACCCTAAGAAATTGTTGCCTCTTGCTTAC